GTTTACCACATTTTGTTTATCCATTCATTAGCTGCAAGACATTTGATTGCTTCCACTTTTTAACTATTATGAATAATGCTGCAATGAACATTCATGTACAAGTTTTTGTATGAACATATGTGTTTATTTTCTTAGGTATAGAACTGGGAGTCACATGGTAACTCTATGTTTAACCTTTTGAGGATCTGCCCAACTGTTTTTCAGAGCAGCTGTATAGTCCCATCAGCAGTGTATAATGGTTCCATTTTTTTCATATTCTTGCCAACATTCGTTACTATGTTTTTTTTATTATAGCCATCATATTGGATATGAAGTTGTATCTCATTATGGTTTTGATTTGCATTTCCCTAATGAGTAATGGTATTGAGTATATTTTTATGTGCTTATTGGTCATTTGCTTATCTTCTTTGAAGAAATGTTAATTTAAATCCTGTGTTCATTACAAAAAATTTTTTAATTGAGGTATAGTTGATATACAATATTATACTAGTTTCAAGTGTACAATATAGTGATTTGACAATTATATACATTATGAATGTAATAAATATAAATATATTTTATATATAAATATAAATAAATATAACTTACCATAAATATAATTAACTACCTGTCACCATACAAAGCTATTACAATATTGTTACTATTATTTTTTTTAAAGATTTTATTTATTCATTTGAGACACAGAGATACAGGGGGAGAGAGACAGCGTGAGCAGGGGGAGAGGCAGAGGGAGAGGGAGAAGCAGGCTCCCCACTGAGCCAGGAGCCTGATGTGGGGCTCGATCCCAGGACCCTGAGATCATGCCCTGAGCTAAAGGCAGACGCTTAACCATCTGAGCCACCCAGGCACCGCAGCTATTACAATATTATTGGCTATATTCTCTATGCTGTACTTTTCATCCCTGTGACTTATTTTCTTTTATAACTGTCAGTTTGTACCTCTTAATCCCTTTTACCTATTTTGCCTATCCCCCATCCCCTCTCTGCCAGCCATGAGTTTGTTCTCTGTATTTATGAGTCTATTCCTGTTTTTTGTTTGTTTTGTTTTTTAGATTCTACATATAAGTGAAATAACATGGTATTTGTCTTTTTCTGTCTGACTTATTTCAGTTAGCATGATATCCCCTACATCCATCCATGTTGTTACAAATGGCAAGATTTCATTCCTTTTTTATGGCTGAGTAATATTTCACTGTGTATACGTACTACATCTTCTTTATCCATTCATCTATCAGTGGACACTTAGGTTGTTTTCATATCTTGGCTATTTTAAATAATGCTGCAATGAACATAGGAGTGCATATACTTTTTTAAATTAGTGTTTTTGTTTTCTTCAGGTAAGTCCTCAGAAGTAGAATTACTGGATCATATGGTATTTCTCTTTTTTGTTTATTTATATTTATTTATTTTTTTAAAGATTTTATTTACTTATTAGAGAGAGAGAGCACAAGTAGGCAGAGTGGCAGGCAGAGGGAGAGGGAGAAGCAGGCTCCTCACTGAGCAAGGAGCCCGATGTGGAACTTGATCCCAGGACTCTGGGATCATGAATTGAGCTGAAGGCAGACGCTTAACCAACTGAGCCACCCAGGCGTCCCTGGTATTTCTGTTTTTAATTTTTTGAGGAACCTCCATACTGTTTTCCGTAGTGGCTGTACTAATTTGCATTCCTACCAATAGTGCGTGAGAGTTCCCTTTTCTCTACATTTTCGCCAATACTTACCTCTTATCTTGTTGATACAAGCCTTTCTGACTAGTGTGAGGTAATATCTCGTTGTGGTTTTGATTTGCATTTCCCTGATGGTTAGTAATGTTGAACATCTTTTCATGTGTCTGTTGGCCATCTGTATGTCTCCTTTGGAAAAATAATTATTCAAGCCCTCTGCCCATTTTTAATGGTATTGTTTGGGTTTTTTGATGTTGAGTTGTATGAGTTCTTTATATATTTTGGATATTAACCCCTCATTAGATGTATCATTTGCAAATATCTTCTCTCATTCACTAGGTTGCCTTTTCATTTTGTTGTTGGTTTCCTTCACTGTGCAAAAGCTTTTTAGTTTGATACAGTCCCAATTGTTTATTTTTGCTTTTGTTTCTGTTGCCTGAGGAGAGAACCAGAAAAATATTGCTAAGGCCATAAGAGTTTGCTGCCTATTTTCTTTGATTTTTATGGTTTTAGGCCTTACTTTTGGGTCTTTAATCCATTTTGAGTTTATTTTTGTGTATGGTATAAGAAAGAGGTCCAGTTTCTTTTTTTTTTTTTTGCATGTAGCTATCCAATTTTCCCAACATCATTTATTGAAGAGACAGTCTTCTCTATTATATGTTCTTGTCTCCTTGTTATAGATTGACAGTATAAGCATGGGTTTATTCCTGGGCTTTCTATGCTGTTTCATTGGTCTGTGTGTCTTTTTTGTGCCAGTACCATACTGTTTGATTAGCATAACCTTGAAGTATATTATAGGCCATTTGCTTATCTTCTTTGAAGAAACGTTCATTTAAATCTTGTGTTCATTTTTAAAAGGGTTTTCTTTTTTTAGTGAGTTGTAAAAGTTCCTTGTATATTCTAGATGCAAGTTCCTTAAGAGATATATCATTTATAAATACTTTCTCCTGTTCTTTGAGTTGTCTTTTCACTTTCTAGATGGTGTCCTTTGAAGCACAAGAGTTTTAAATTTTGATGAATTCCTGTTTATTTTTTGTTGTTGTTGCTTGTGTTTTGGGGGTTGTGTTTAAGAAACCCGTTGCCTAATCCAAACTAATGATTTTCCTCTATGATATCTTCTAAGACTTTTATAGTTTTAGCTTTTACATGTAGGACTTGGATCATGTTTTTTGTTGTTGTTTTTGAGGAAGAGAGAGACAGTGGCGGGGGACTGGGGGTGAGGGGCAGATGGAGAGGGAGAGAGAGAAGCCCAAGCAGACTCCACACCCAGTGCAGAGTCCGACGTGGGGCTCAGTCTCACAACCCTGAGATCCTGACCTGAGCTAATCTGAAATGAAGAGTCGGACGCTTAACCTACTAAGCCACCCAGGCGCTCTGGTCTTTGATCCATTTTGAGTTAATTTTTGTATATGGTGTATAGTGGGGGGGTCCAACGTAATTATTTTGCTTGTAAATATTCAGTTGTCCCAGCACCATTTGTTGAAAAGACTGTTCTTTCCCACACTGAGTTGTTTTGGCACCCTTGTCGAAAATCAGTTGGCTTTAAATGCGTTTTATTTCTGGACTCTTAGTTCTGTTCCATTGATCTATAATGACTACTTCATACTTTTTCTAACTTATGATTAGAATGCCTTATCTGCCGTCTCCACCTGACAAAGTCCTGTTGCATGATTCCTCTACCAGAAGCCTTCCTTTCCCCTGCAGGTCTTTTTGTATAACTCTGCATATTTACAGCATTGGGCTTGTCACTTTACTGTGGTATGTGTATGCATATATATATCTCCTTTAGTAGTTAGTAAACTTATGGAGGGTAGAGACTGGACCTTTTATATCTGATTCCCAGAGCTTTAGCACAGTGCCTGGCATGTGGTATGCTATTAATACATTTATAGGAGGAATAATAGCAGTATTGAATTTTGTTTTGGATGTGTTCATTTCTAGGTATCATTAGGACATCCAGGGGCTAATATTTAATAGGCATTTTTATTTATTAATTGAAACTTGCTTATACCTTTTTTAAATTATTCATTTGTCAAATATTTATTGGATGCCTGTTGTGTACCAATCGCTGTACTAGACTCTGAGGTACAATAGTAAACAAAACATCACCCTACATTTATATAAATATAAATGCAATATAAAATTGTTTAAAATGGCTGGCAGTAAAACCATCAGGGAAATCCGGAGGCTGAAGGAGAGGTCAATACTGGTGATACAGACTTTGGAATCATCTTCACAAAGGTGATACTTGAAACTGTATAGTTAGAGATGGAATTGCCAAGAGATTGAGCCTATAAAACCACAGGAGATTGTGCAGAGAGAGTCTTGAGAATATCTGAATTTAGGGGGGAAATAGTCTGAAATGTAGGAAGACCAAAAGAGTAGAACCTTGCAAACTAAGGGAAAAGAGAAAGGGAAAATACATGGAATGGTAAAGGAGTAAGCCTAAGAAAGAACCATGGGTTCAGGTGATTAGTCATTGGTAATCTTAAGAATTAAGTTTTAAGGGACATGCTAGAATAAGTTTTTAAAAAATTGAATCCTGGGGGCTCCTGGGTGGCTCAGTTAGTTAAGCATCTGACTTTTGATTTCAGCTAGGTCATGATCCCAGGGTTGTGAGATCTGAGCCCCATATCCGGCTCTGCACTGAGAGTGGAGCCTGCTTAGGATTCTCTCTCTCCTTCTCCCTCTGCCCCTCCCCACTCACCCTCTCTCTCTTAAAAAAAAACAAATTCTGGGACTTTTTTGAAACAGTGAAACTGCTGTGTGTTTTTTCTTACTCTGTAAGGAAATACTGTATCCATAAATGAAGAATTTAAATGTATACATTTAGATGGTATTCATCTTTGCGGGGGGGGCTTCATTTTTTTTTTTTCCCTGAGAGACCTGAAAACTTACCCTGTATAGAATCTCTCTCAGACTTGTAAACCATTGAATTTCTTTCATTTTGAAGACCTTAGTTTTTTTTTTAAGATTTTATTTATTTATTTGAGAGAGAGAGAGCAAGTGTGCCCAGAGGGAAGGGCAGAAAGGGAGGGAGAGGAAGAAAGAATCCCAAGCGGGCTCTGTGCTGAGCTCGGAGCCCAACTCCAGGCTCAAGCTCAAGACTCTGAGACCATGACCTGAGCTGAAACAAAGAGTTGGACACTTAACCTACCTGAGCCACCTAGGTGCCTCAAACCTTGGTATTTTTTAGTTTCTTCATTCTTGCTATTAGAATGTATTTCTTCTTGGGTTAAAAATCATTTGACCATTATATGAATAATTGGTGTTGGTACATATAGACAGTTGAATTTGGTCCACTAACGTGTAACTGTTCTTTTTTCATTTTTGAATAGTGACAGAAATGTTGGTAAATGTTCTGAGTATTTGCTCTGATGATGAACTAATGACTGAAGGTGAAGACCAGTTTGATGGTATGATTATTCATTTTACTATTTTTCATTGTGAAATGGTATCTTTTAACTGCCCAGCTTCAGTACACACTCTTTTGCAAAATGTAGTCATTGTTCTCAAATGACTGTGCCATTTGATAAGTGTCAAGACACTTTTTCAGATGCTGTTTATTTTAAGATTTTTTTTTTTAGCGATTTTACTTTTTTTCTGTTGGTATGGGGAAGATGAATTTTGGGAAAAGGGAAATTTGGAAGAACAGAAGGAAAGGAAAATTGAAAGTACTAAAGAATGTGGTTCTTCATGAATATGGACACTGCTTAGAGGGAGGATAAAAATGCTTTTTGTTTTATTGGTACAGTCTTAGTGCATCAGAAACATACCTGAACTGGCAATGTTATTGTCACTGTTTTTTCCCGAAAACTAAGTAAAGTAAGCTGTTCCCAACTTATGAGTGGTTGTGCTCTAAGAGACCACTTATTGGTTTAGTTTGATTTTCAGAAGCATCTTTTCCATAGAAACAAGGTTAGATATGGCTGTTTGTTCTTATGTAAGCTAACCAGCCTATGTACTGATGTACAATCATAGTATAATTTAATACCATAAAAACAAAATTTCTTTTATTTTTATGTCTTGAAATTTTTATTTAAAACTTTTTTTAATTTAAAACTTTTAAATTTAAATACTTTTTAAAATTTAAGTCACTGAGAAACAAAAACATAAACAACTTAAAGCTGAGAACTCTTTATTTCCTTCTATGTGCCCCTCACATCTTTGTTGCAACATTCTTTTCATAGTTTTAATCAGTATATAATTGTTGCCATATATTAAACATGGTCTACATATTGGTACAACTTAATAGCTACATATTTCTAAATAATTTACCATAATTTTCATAGTTAATCTCATGTTGTTTGGCATTTGGATTGCTTTCAGTCATCCTTATTATGAATAGCATGCAATACATATGTTTGTACAGTAGTTTTTTTCTTGGGATAAATTTCTTGAAGAGAATTACAGAGTTAAATTATGTTTTAGCTTTGTTATTTTAACTATGCACTGCCAGATTACTTTGCAGAATTGGACCAATATGAAGTACTTTTAGCAATGAATCCATAGACCTCTTTCTCCACAGGCCCACCTCATTGGGTTTTGGTCATTTTTACTTATTTTGCTTGGTGGCTACATACTAGTGAATTACACTTGGTTTAATTTACATTTCCTTGATTTTCTAATGATTTTTAATTAAAAATTACTGTCTACTTTTTCAAGTGTATGAACTGTATATCTCATTTGACTACTTATTAAGTACAAGCTGAGTAAAACTATTTAGAAGTTTCTTTGCTTACAAACAGGTTTAATTCTTAAACACTTTTGTAAGCCCATTTGTTAAAAGTACAAAGTGACTGTGTACAAGTGTCTGCTATTGCCATCTGTTGGTGGCAAGCAGAGATGTGCTTTTTACTCTGATTTATAGTTTTGTTAACTGAAATAAATTATATGCATTCGTTTTTGGTTTGGATAATAGGTTTTAATGAGTAATATTTATTTTTTTTAATTTTAATTCTTTTGTGTAGAAGTTTTAGCTCTACCATATTTCATTATATTTGTCTTTTACATAAAATTTTTAAGTAGTTACAATTAAATATTTTTTCCCTATTCTGCCACCTTTTCCCTTTTTGTCTTCTTAGACTAGGTCTGGTTCAGATTCTAGTTTCTCATAGTGGCTTTATGACCTCAGGCAAATTACTTCGCTTCTCTGAGTCTCAGTTTTTTTATCTTCAAAATGAAGATAATAGTACCTACTTCATAATCTTACAGGTATTGATATAATGACTGAAATAATTGTTGGTTCATAGTTCACTAATTTCTTCAGATAAAGTTTTCTGTTATATGTCAAATTCTGTGAAATATCAAGTAGCAGTTTTAATTGGTATCTCAAATCCATACCTGCATTTAGGAAGTTTTGTTTAGTTTTCTAAACTAAGATCAGATCTCTTGCTCTATATAATTAGTTCATTTACTATAATTACTGCATTTAATATATTTAATGTACACTATTCCATTTAAAATCACATAGTTTTTCTCTGAAAAAAATCCGTTATTAAGTTAAATTAATACTATTTTTTATCCTTATTACAACTGGTATGTCTTCACATATTTTTTGTGTATAAGGTATATATTATGTATTAGTGGGTTTATCTTATGACAACTTGGATCAGCAGAATTATTTCCTATGGTAATTTTTATTTTGTTTTCCTTTTAAAAATGTCATTTGCATAAGGCTTGTTATTTATTTTTCTACATTTTACCTTTATTTCTTCTTATTTTTAACAAATTTGTATCAATATTAATAGTGTTTTTTCAGTAGTATTTTAAATAGGAGTGATGATAGGTAATGCTTTAGTCCTCTTCCTATAAAAAAAATTTCCTTGTTAAGTCTATTATGGTTGGTTTAGATACTTATGATTTATATGAGGATAGACAATCATTTTTGGGATTCAACCAGGAATACGTATAAAATTATATTCCAAATGAGATTTATGTATCTAATCAACATTTTCTTCTCAGTTATAAATTATGCTTATTTATCCACTTGTTATATCACTCTTGCACTCCAGAGATGAATTAAGTTTGATCATTAAAGAGGTGGTACAGTTTAGTGAAAAGGATCAATGGTCTAGCTATCCTGGCATTACTGTTATGCTAGCTGTGTAATCTTGGAGAAGTTACTTAACTTCCCAGGATCTTCTTTCTCATCCATGGATTGAAGGAATAGAAAGGAAATAATTTTAAAAATTGGTAAGCTGTCATTTATGACAGTGTTTCTACATGAAAATACACTGAGTTCCAGCTTTGAATGAAATAGATCTCCCTTCACTGCCAACATAGCAGGTATAATTACTCATTTCTTCACCTTTCCATACCAAGTATTAGGAGTAAAGACTCCAAGAAAATTTTAAGAATATGAATCTGGGAGTTTGTATGGAGGAATGAGAATGGTTTGGGGAGACAATTGAGGAATGGAGGAAATGGGAGGAGATTAGGATAGATACTAGGATGGGATAGGGAAAAGAGCTACTGGAACTGGGTTTATTTCCCTTCCTTAATCACATTCCCGTACTTCTTTCCCTTAACTCTGTACCTCTTTTCTCCTTTCCTTTCACCATGATAGCATGCCTTTTGTCCTCTCCTTCCCCTTTTCCTACTCAGCAGTAGAACCATCTGATGAGCTGGGCATGGGGAGAAATCTGACTTAGAAAGAAAACTTGGTGGCGTGGGGATTGCTGTGGAGGCCGAATAAAAGTTTAGCTTCTCTGTGGGGAAAGGGAGAGAGCAGGAATGGAGCTATCCCAGTGGCAGGAAGGAAAGATAGTTTTTGCATATTTAGGGCTGAGACTGGGTAAAGGAATAATACTTTCTTCTTAAGTGATAATCTTTGGTATTCTGCATTGTTTAATGTATATGTGGAGTTAAAATTTGCATAAACATTGCATGTATAAGTGCAAGTAGCATTCCTTTTAGAGGTATTTAATCATTAAAGAGAATTTCTGAACACTGATTTCTGTGATATTTAGAATGCATACTATTTCTTTCAGATATTTATCTTTTGTCTTGAGTTTGGTAAAGGAAATACATAATCCACATGTTTTACAGTTTTACTAAACTAAAACTTTGCATTTCCTATAATGGAATCATGTATCTCTGCATTAGAATGGAAGATATGGAAAGTTCAAATGAAACATTTCTGCTGCCTACTCTTAGAACTATTACTTGCTTTGAAACAATCTGTTGCTATTTCTGCAAAAAGATGTCCCTCAAGCTCCCAGATTGGATTGGGAACAGAAAGCACATACTGTTGATCCTGAGTATGTGCAAAAGTTCTACATTCAGATTCAAGAAATTATGTGTTCTTGTTATTTATGGAGTGTGGGAGGCTTAGCCTTTCCGTTATTCGAAGTGGGTAAGATTTTCCACTGAGGTAGTTGATAAAGTTACCTACATTTCTCTGTGTATACTATAGATTTTGCCAGTGTTGGTGTCCTTGAAGAACCACATGAGTTTGTATATCATTTGTGTCATTACCCTTCACTTAACATACTCCCATGGGTGACACATTTCCTTAGGGGTATCAATATAAATGTGCGATTGTTGTTTGCACAGTCTTTTATCAGTCTTATGTGTTTTCACGTGTTTTTTTTCTGTCCCTAATTTGTCTACTTCCATCAAATATTATAGTCATTCTGTCCATAATTTCTTCTGAACACATATCTTTTAAGAAATCTTTCCTTTAGAGTTCTACCTAGTGGCATCCCTCTTTTATTCACCAGATCCTATAGTACTACATTTTTCAAATTTCGAATATGAGGGCCTTCATTTTTCTCCCTTTCTTTCTACATTCATTCTTCAGTACCACTGCCAAGTTAAATCTCTATCTTTTTATTTGTCTCAACCACCTTTTCTCCATCATTCACTTCCTTTTTTCTGGACTCTCCATCTGAAGAACGGCTCATATATGGCAATAAAAAAGGTACAGACCAGACAGAGTAATACTGTTTTGAAATATGACTTCATAAGTTATCCTCATGTCCATGTAAGTTAGCACATTCATTGAGTACCATTTATGCAGAGTCCTTTTGGGCCTTGTGCAAATTTAGTGTAAGTGCTATCTGAGATAGAATTTGATGTTTTTAGAAGTCATATTCCAAGATTTCTGTCTTTCTGTGCATGGAAATATTTTTCCCTCTTTTTCATTCCTCTTGTTTTAAAACTTCATTCTTTTGCTTATTTGTAATGTTTTGTACTTTTCCCTGCATGATTAGGGGTGTTTGATTGTCTGTCTTATTCCCCAGAGTAATTTTACTGTGGACATTTACTTTAATATTATGCATGATGTGTTTGTAGACTGATTTAAAATCCTGACTTGTATAGTGTTTTTATATTCCAGTGATTTTTTAAAATTTGAAATCAGTATAGTTTACATATTAGTTTTACAGATACATAAATTAAGGCTGAAAATACGAATGTACCTCATTGCAGCCATCCTCTCCCATCCCCATCCTCCTCTCCCCCAGTCTAGCTGTTTTTAAAATTCTGTCAATTTTAAAACAATGTTTATCTTAATTCATTCAAAGAAATCAGACTTACCTTATGTCCTTGGATAAAACAGTTAATAAACTTAGTTTCTTTGTCTCTAAAATGAGATTAAACTTTGCAATATTCCTAATGTCTCTTCAAATTCTAATGTTTTATGATTCTGAGACTTTTAGTAATTATTTTTGGCATCTTAAAAATAGCTGTGTAGTACTGTAGTACCTACACAGTTTTGAACTTGGAAAAGCTGTAGCTTCAGTGCTCATAATATTACCCTTTAGAGCATCGTAAACATAGTCCTGGAACCTGTTTTCTCTAAAATATGTCTTTTGTTTTTGTCTTTGAAATTGGATTTCTTTTCTGTTTCCTTGCAGTAAGGTCCAGTCATCATCTTAGTTTTTAATTATATGGTGTTTGGGGGCTGCTTGAATTTTAAATGAGATGCTGTAGCCCAGAAGACTTATGGTTGTTCAGATCTCTGTATATCCATGGCCCCTTTTAGTCTAGTCTCTTTAGCCTTTCCTTAACTTTTCCTCAACCATGGTGCTTCTATATGTGTTTTCATCATGCTGAAGCACAGCTCTAAGGAACCACACTCTTGGGTCCAGAGTGATTCTGGTTGCTATATATAACAGGACTGAGATTGTTGTTGTTCTTTCTGGAAGCCAAGGGAAGAAAGATACAACTTTGAGTTTTTCTTCAGCTGAAGATCAAGTTATTTTGATATATTCTCTTCTGTATCAGTGATAGGCAGTACAGCTAACCCTTTAGAGAGAAACATGAGTGATCCTTTAGCTGTGCTTTTTAGGGAATCTTTTTCATTGTTCACTCTCCTTGTGTCATACTCACCTAGGGATGTAAGAGCTTGTATATATTTGCATGACCTTGAGGACATTTAGTCCGTGAGATTAAGATGTGTGGTATTGTTGATATGCTGGTATCGTCCTTAGTTCAGCGTCGTCTGCACAGTAGTTATTTCATACCATTGTTTTTAAACCCACTTAGAATAAAGAACTTACTCTGTCATAGTAAGATGGGGTATTTCCAGCCTGCATGTCAGAGGCTTTTATAATAGTTAAACAGAGGCCTATACAGAGTTATTACCAATTCTTGTTTGTTAGTCTGCATGCATAGGCCCTCATGAGAATTAAACAAAGACTATAGGATTCTTAGCATTTTTTTTTTCTTGTCCTCTGGTTTGTGATACAAGTTGGGTTCTAGTTTCTTTCCCATTGCTATTTTAATGATTAGCAGTAGTGTGAGAGTCATAATGTTTGTGGATTACTTTTCATTTGTATCTGTATCAGACCCCAGTATTAGACCAGGGCTGAGCTAAACATTGAAGGAGTGAGAGGCTTTCTGGTGGCAGAGAGTTTGGTGTTGGTTAAGATGAGCGTGGTATAGGTTAATAGAATGGTGCAAGTGTGGATGCCCTAAACTTGAGTCTTTTTTTCTATTTATTCCATTGAAAGTAGGTTCAGCTGCAGCCCGGAAAGAAATCATAAGAAACAAAATTCGAGCAATTGGCAAGATGGCAAGGGTCTTCTCTGTTCTCAGGTAATGATATATTTTCCTGATTATTTGCTTTACAGAAATTCTTTTATTGTACTTTGCTGTAAGCAGTGTCCTGTTTGACACCTAAAAGCAATTTAGTAGCATTCTTCCTATAAAGAAGTTAGTTGTACATTTACATATTGAAGAAGGGAACACAAGTCCCTTTAAAACTAGGGTCTTTGGCAGGCGGGCGGCAACAGGGAGCTGGAGGCCAAGAATTATCTGGAAAAACATCAGATTATGGAGTTGCTGAACTATCTCACCAGCGCCCTGCTCTTTTCCCGGCCAGAAAAGCCAAGAGAGTATTTAATATCTCTATTGGAACAACTGAGAATTGCCAAAATAACAGGCGTGGCTTTTCCTTTCTTTATGGATCACTCTAACATTGTGTCTATGTTTGAGATGATGGACACTTCAAATAAAGGCACTATATCTTTTGTGTAGTACAAAGAAGGCCTAAAAACCCTGGGTCTGTTGAATGAAGATGAAGTTGTAAAAAATGATGGACATGTAATAACTTTGGAAAAATTCAGATCTGAAGTGAAGAAGAGGACTGAGAAAATATGGTCAGCATTTTAATAACACCATAAGTCCAAGATAATAAATGATTCTATAAAGTTAAAAAAAAAAACTAGGGTCTTTGACCCTTGTGATTATTATTGCTCACTTTGAGTATGTGTTACCCTTCTGTGATGAACGTACTAGTTCTACACCTTGAAAATTAGAGCAGAATAAGAAGGAGAAGGTACCTTTTAGAGTATTCCTGATGAACTTGCTCATCCATTTAGGACGTTCCTTTTGTTGGAGCCACAAATTATCTTCTTAGGGTTAATTCAGGAAGACTAGGTTTAAAGGCACACATAAATGAGTCATTCATTAAAAATTTGTTTGCAAATCGCACTACTGGGTATTTACCCCAAAGATACAAATGTAGTGTTCAGAAGGGTCACATGCACCCCAGTGTTTATAGCAGTAATGTCCACAATAGCCAAACTATGGAAAGAGCCTAGATGTCCATCAACAGATGAAGAGATAAAGATGTGGTATGTATACACACACACACACACACACACACACACACACACACACACAGGAATATTATGCAGCCATCAAAAAATGAAATCTTGCCATTTGCAACGACATGGATGGAACTAGAGGGTATTATGCTAAGCGAAATAAGTCAATCAGAGAAAGACAATTATCATATCTCACTGATATGAGGAATTTGAGAAACAAGATAGAGGATCATAGGGGAAGGGAGGGAAAAATGAAACAAGATGAAACCAGAGAGGGACACAAACTATGAGAGACTCTTAATCTCAGGAAACAAACTGAGGGTTGCTGGAGTGGAGGGAGGTGGGAGTGATGGGGTGGCTGGGTGATGGACATTGTGGAGGGTAAGTACTATGGTGAGTGCTGTGAATTGTGTAAGACTGATGAATCACAGACCTGTACCCCTGAAACAAATAATACATTATATGTTAATAAAAAAAATTTAAAAATTTATTTGCAAAACTGGTTATATCAGACATTTGAAATTTACAGCATAGAAATACCATATTTTCTCAATTGTATGATTCTCATTGATGATGAATCTCATCATATATTTAATAAAGCTTTTCAGAAAAAAATATATGCCTCAGTTGTAAGGCATACCCTCTTATACTGAAATATTTAAAATATGGAACAATGTCTTATCTTGGAATTGAGGAAAATATGGTAATAACAATGAATGTCATAAATTATATACATGGCCTACCTCTGGGCCCCATCTCCTCTTTTAAACTAAGAACTTGTTGGAAGTCTCTGATACCTGTTGTATCTCTTTGCTATAGGGAGGAGAGTGAAAGCGTGCTGACACTCAAGGGCCTGACTCCCACAGGGATGTTGCCTAGTGGAGTGTTGGCTGGAGGACGGCAGACCCTGCAAAGTGGTAATGATGTTATGCAACTTGCTGTGCCTCAGATGGACTGGGGCACACCTCACTCTTTTGCTAACAGTACACATAATGCATGCAGGGAATTCCTTCTGCTTTTTAGTTCCTGTCTCAGCAGCTGACACAGGCAGAATACTATATGATAGGTAGTGTCTGGCTAATAACCTGACCAGGGCAGAAAATTGATAGAATGGGTATTCCTTTCAATCGAAAATAATGGTCAGTCTCTCAGCTTTCAATGAAATGATATGGGAGCAGCTCATATCATAATGTCTAAATATTTATTTATTTTTGTTTGTCTAATGCACCCTTTTCTTTTAAAAGCCCCAGTTTCAGAATGTGAATCAAGGATATCCATATTACTAAAATGGAAATGTAATTCCAAGTTTCTTATTTTTTATTTTTTTAATTTATGTAATTGTATTAGACTATGCTTATATTATCAGATACTTAATTTTAGAATTAACAATCTGCTTGGGCCCCAAAACTTACTTATGCACTTCACTTGCCAAAAGATTTGTGCAAGGTTTTGTACCCTGGTAAATGATGCCAAAGTTTGTTTTCTGTGGTGTTTGTCAAATGTTCTATGTATAATTGACTGTCTGTAACATGCTGTTTTCTTCCTCTGCAGATGTAGCTGCTTTCCTAAATCTGTCTGTCTTTCTTTAGGTTAGCTGTATGTCTGTAAAAGTATGTTAAATTAAATTACTCTATCAGACACTTGTCTGTCTTTTGATGTAGAAGCAACTTTGTAGCACCTTGTTTTGAGGTTTGCTGCATTTGTTGCTGTACTTTGTGCATTCTGAACATGAATGTAACATTAGATATTAAGTCATTGTTATAAGGGGTTGAATTTAAATTCTGTAAGTCAAAATTGAAAGGGTGTTATTAAGTGTGCCTTTATTTTGCATGAAAATAAAAAGAATTATACCTAAAGCATTCCTGTAATCTGGCTCATTGAATATTTTATATTAAAAAAACCTTATTTTTTTGGCGTAAATATTTGTGTAAATACTGGGTTAACTTTTTGAAAGCCCATTACAGATTAAAAAGAAGAGAGTGATGTGAATGTTTTAGAGTATACACAATAACTCAAAGTCTAGATTTCTTTCCCTTGTGGTTGGAAAGCAAAATATCTGATATGGGATAGCTTTAATTTCTATATTTTATTGTAGTCACTTTTGACAGCCCTCCAAGGGTCATTGCTCTGTTAAAATAGGCAGCAACAGATCTGATGTTTTCCTTAGTCATGGCTGACTTTCTTCCTGGTGTTGTAATTAGTGAATTTTTTAAAGCAAAAAATAATTTAAAATTTTGAATAAATTTAAAGTAGATAGACTTTTCACAGTCTCATTTCACTCAGTCTCATAATAAATGCCTAAATAAATAAGCAAATTTTTCCTGTAGACAAATAATTTCTACTTGTAGCCTATACATGTTCTATTTTATATGTTAGTGTGTTGTCTGCTACCACCACTGGTATATGTGAGAAGTACAGCTATGGTTTAAAACGATAGTTTCAAATTTTCGTTCTGAATGAGGTTTCCTTTTTTTTTTTAATTAAAAGAAAAACTGCTTTGATTTTCTTTATATTCCTTGACCTCCATTTTTTTATATTATAGACATTAGCAAAATGAGCTAAAAATAATTTAGCTAAAACAAAGATCTTAAACATTCAATAAAACTAGCAAAAGTAAGCGTTAATAGAAAAGGATGAACTTTAGTAGCTTGAAAAATGTTATACCCTTTCTCTTTTTTGTTCATAAGAGAAAAGGAAAACTGAAAGGCCTCATACGTTAATAAATCTCCACTACAGTCATCTCTCCATTGTCCTTGGATGTATTATTACTTTTACATTGTATCTGCAGCAAACCTTTCTTTCAGATTTCACAATTAGTACCGGCTAATTACATGCTTTGTTGGCATCTCAGCACTTCTACTCATTCTTAATTTGCATGCAGCCTGAAGCTCAGTCTTCCAACTTTGAACTCACCCCCAACTTCAGGGAAGGTTTGAAAGACAGTTTTACTGAAGGGACTGTATTCCCAGCATAGAGAGAGTTAGAGGACAGTGCTGAGTTTAAGGGGTCTAATTTACGAAACTGGATAGCTCCCTAGCTGTGCCAGGGATGGCTCTTGATAGTGTGGAGCAATTTTCCTAGCATAATAAGATAAACCCATTTTGAAGCACATAACAAAACTCATACAGAAGCTGCATCTGTGTGAGTTAAATTTTTTTTCTAATATTTTGTTTTAGTAGACATGTTCCCTGATGTGAGTGAGAGTTAAGTATTGCAAAAAGAAGGTTTTAAAATTCTAATACCTCAGTCCTGTTGTCAGAAAATAAGTCTGATTGCCTTCTCAGTAACCTTAATTTATATTTCTTGAGTGTTTTCACAAACTACACAACTCTTTTGGAGTAGGAATTAATATATTTTGTGTGCATTTTCTTCATGGAAATTTGTTTGGGAGCTAGCCCTATAATGCTACCTTCACCAGGACATATATGGGAAAATACGTGGCCATCTCTTTTAGTAATGCCAAATTCTTCTTCATTATTGAGGAACACAGTTTGTGACAGCACTGTACACAAACTTACTAAGGCCATGTCAGGCTGCCCTATAAAACTGAAAACAAATAGAGGAAAAACAGTGCCTTTCAAATAGAACTTAACAATTATCAAATCTCTTTCCAGCTTAATGTTTAAGCTTCAAATGACCTTTTTTTCCATTCTAAACATTCAAGCTTGACACGGTATGCAGTTTTGAGTGTGATATGTATTTTGTATCCTGAAAGGGATTAGGAGCATTTAGAAGCTTCTCGAAAGAACAGAGAATATAATTTGATCTAGAACATGCTTTTACATATAAAATTAAAATGATTTCAGAAGTATGTTGTTATAGTTCATAATTTGAAAAATTTATTAATAGACTTTTAAACTACTGATGCACTCAAATAGATACTAATTCTTATAGTGATATCAGGTTTTATTTTTAATTTATTACCATATATAATACAAGTTATGAAATATTTCATAGAAAATCACTTATTTTACCATAAGCTCTTTAAAACATTCTGATAGGCATTTTTTTTTTCCCATTCAGTGTAAAGAAAATAGTCCATATTTTGAAGAATAGAAGTTGTAGGGCTGATCAAGTAGAGGTGGGTCATTTATCCCAGTTTTCTGTCTGGGAAGATACAAAGAGTATATTCCAGGTATACAGAGCTAGACTTTTAAAATGGTGATTTGTATAGTGGGTATACAATAAATATGTCTGCTTGGATTTGTAATACAGTTTAACAGTTAAGGAAGATTAATTTTTTTTTTATTCAGTGTTCATCCTACCTCTTTTGGGTCCCCAACTCACTTTACTATCTGGTTAAGATCAATGAATTTCTAATTAGTCTACTTTAATTCCTTAGATTAATCAGTTTTCTTTCACATTAATAACTGCTTTGGACAAAATTTATTATTTCTAAATCTAATTGCCCTCATTGTAGAAGAAGCAAAATAGAAAGGATGGGGCATTATTGTTATAAATATTCTGAGTGTGTGTACTTTGGGTAAAGTGGAGAATTTGCAGTGTTGTCAGGCAATATTGTCCTCTGCAGTCTTTGATCCTGGTCCTCAATGTGGGTGCTTTATACAGTTTGAACCCAGAAATGAGCCAAAAGAATGTTTGACTATAAAATGTATGACTAAATAATGTGATTCTTCAAATAGGCCAGAGACAAGCTATACTAAGAATGCATTTCTCACTTATATGACCTAAGTGTATGTCCATATCAAATAAATTAGAATTTATGCCTGTAAGACTTCAGTTCTATCTTGATTCCTCTCTAGTTGGTAGATGGGCTTGAAAAGATGTACATTGGCCTTTCTATCTTCATTTGAGAATGCATGCTATAAGTACCAAGGCAGATTTGAGTTCATGATAAACTGAACATAAATAGTTTTTTTTTAAAGGCTATAGATGTTATTATCTTTGGATATTTGGGACACCAATGTTAGAATAGAAAGGAAGTTCCTAATAGATGAGAGGGGTCCTTTTAGGTTATCCACAAACAACAGAGCAACAGAACTATTCTACTTAGAGTAATTCACCAAGTTTACTGCCCTTAAGTTTCATTGTAGTCATACCAGCTTCTGCAGCTTTTGCTATGCCTTATGAATTAGAAGCAACAGGAAAAGCATTATTGACCCCTTCTAGTTTATATCTTATGGAACAACTGATAATGAGAATTGTTTCAGTTAGATGGTAGGGGGGAGGGGGAAGAATCTTCTGTTTGCTTTTCTGCTACAATTCTGCCATCATAATTTCACCGTAGAGAATTTCCTTGTGATTGTGATGGATGTGATATGATAAACATGTTGAAAAATTCTAAGGCCATCAAAATACTGAATTCACAATAGGTAATTAATACTGGAGTGCATTTGCATGGGTGCTGAGGTGTCTGTGTTTATATTAGGTCCATGTGTTCTGTGCTCTGAGCGATGTTGTCATAGTGCTGTGTGTAAATTGTGCTGTGTCAGGAATTGGGGGATTGATGGGGCTCTCTAATATGGATATTATTTATGTTAAATTGTAAATGATGATGTAGTATGGGATACTGTGATATTTTACGTGATCATTGCCTTTTCTGCTGTACAATATGACCCTTCTCATCTCTCTCATTCATTTTGCATGCCTCTGCTCACTTCTGTACAGCCACAGTTGAGGCTATTGAGGCTGAAAAAGGTACGATCAGAGTCCTTGCGCTGGGCAGAGATCTGTGGTGTGTGGGTGGGCATCAGAGAATGTCCTGTGGGTGTGTTTTACTCCTAGTTTGCGCAGCCCAAGATGAATCAGACTCACTGACTCATCAAGTTTAACAGTCACATTCCTCTTTTTTTTTTCTTTTCTTTTCTTTTTCTTCTTTTTAAATTACAAGGACCGATTTTCCTGGTGACAATCTGGTTTTCCCCTTTTCTAGTGTTGTGTACAACCAACATTTACTGTTCCTGAATTCTTTAGAGTGCAGCATGTTATGCTATATATTATAGCATTTGAAGTTGCAAAGAAAGATCTATTCTACATTTTGCATGATTCTATGCTATTCAGATCATTTTTTTCCTAAGTGAAAGCCCCTCTAGGTATAGGTTTGAGTTGGTTTTTACTCGTTTTCAGTAATTCACCTGAGAGTGCAGGAACTGTCACTATGATTTTTATTTATTTTTTTGCTGTTTGGCCTAGTGTTTGCTGATAATATTATATTCATATATATCATACGTTGGCTTGATACTACACATTGCTAAATGCTTTGCCGCCCCAACTATTTATTTGGTTCATATGCACAGACTCTGAGTCCCAGGGATTGCACATATTAAAGCAACCAGTTTATAACCAGTGGAATGGAAATCTTTTGTATGCACAGTTTAATAGTAGAAAAGCATCATTCCAGATGAAGTGAATGAGAAATTATAACAACTGGAGGAGGATTGCCATTTATTTTGATTTGGGTTTCCAAAGAACATGCAGTGAATGGCCATTGAATTCAGGAAGACATTTCCTAAAATATGAAACTGAATACTTTTTACTATCAGCCAAATACAGATCTGACTTCTGGAGGCATTTCCCACCTTTTTCATTTCATTCTGGTGGTGATGGGGTGTTGATACCTTGACCTCCAAGATAGTTCTTATCTGCTAAATTTTAACATACTTTGCCTCTTTCTTCTCCCAAGCTCTTGGTACAGATTTGTATGTCAAGGTTAACCTTGTTTAGCCTCCTCACTTGCCCCTACTCTTGTTGCTGCCTTATTGTGATAGTCACTGGTGATTTTAGGGTCTGAGGTAGGAGATAATTGGTATCGTAGAAGTCAGACTGAGACCCTGAGACCATTGCCTGTAGGTTAATTTTGGGGTCAGGGAAGGGTTATTTTTGTGCGTTCTTTTTTAAAGGCTATGCTAACACTTGTCATCTATGAAGCTATCGTGTTTATATTTAGGTTTAAACATTTCACATTTTAAGGGGAAGTCTGGAATGGGGATAGGATTCAGTTAAAGTAAGATTTAAATGTTGCTACATACAGCTAATTTCTTTCTTCTTAAAAATCATTAATTATGTTTTGAAATCTCAGAAATGTTTTTCTATTACTGACTTATCAAATTTGCATTTTGTTAAGCAATACGAGGATTCTCTCCACCACATAGAATCTGCAGTTTTGAAGAGGCAAAGGGTTTGGATAGGATCAATGAGAGAATGCCACCCCGGAAAGATGCTGTACAGCAAGATGGTTTCAATTCTCTGAACACCGCACATGCCACTGAGAACCACGGGACTGGCAACCATAGTGCCCAGTGACCCACGGCTTCCCAGGGACTCTCACATCTCGGGCCCCAAATGGACAGATCACCCCCAGGATCTGGAGTGGTCGGCCAAGCTGACTGTAAATGTCACAGTCCCTCTGGAGAAACCATTGTGCTTTTGAGACCCCAGCCCCCTTCCTGGATGGAGGCTTGAGGGCCCTGGGACATGTTGTGATATCTGATAAGATTGGGTCATCGCTGTGAAGGTGGAGAGCAGTGAGCAAGGGGCTTGGGGCAATTTCCAGTGGAGGGCAACTACACCTCCATTTATGCTTGTGGTTCACACATTAAGTTTACAAATGAGATTTCTTTTTCCCCTCAGTAGAATTAGATTTTGTTTTTTAACCATGACTTCAAATGCAATCCTAAGAGCTAATGTGGACTTTTTTTTTCCCCCATGAAATGTCTTTAAAGGATGAATAAGCATGGTCTTAAAATACATTTCTAAGGTTACTAAGCTGTATTTTGAATTATGGGCAAAATGCTGAGAAACCCAGTTGGCATTTATATAAAATGCTGACCTCAGGTCTATAGTTCTTAAATGTGGCTAATTCTGTAATATAGTCTTGGTATTTTTCAATTATGAATGCATAACCTATTTCTAGGCAGACTCTCTTACTTGAACACAAATCCAAAAACTAATTTAGAATCTTTTTGCCCAAATCTTTTGAAATTTACACCCCAGAGATTTAAGAAGAAAACCTCTAAATTTCAAAATTATGAAGAATTACAGAATTACTCATTTAAGGTACTTTAAAAGAAGTTTGTACATTGTCAAAGTAAATTTTAATTCAAATCATGTCTGTAAAACTTGACGTATTTTGTGTATGCATGTTTTCATTTTGCAAATATTTAATATATAGACCTATGATGTACAGGTACGACATGTATAGGTTACCTAGATGTTATGAGAAATTTTAGTTTATTGTGAGTACTCAAGTTGCTTAAATAGCCACCAGGGTGATTTGCTGCTGGCTTTCTATCATTTTTATGTTTTGATGCAAAGGAAATTTAAAAATGTTCTGGAAGTGTTTTTGATTAAGCAATGCAGCATAGAAGCAATGGTTCTGTTCAATCATTCAGATGTTAGTGGAAGCATAAAAGTCAAGATTGCATGTTGAACCTTTTCTTTTGATAGTTACAGAACTGCTTGGTTAAACTAAATGGAACCATGTGCTGATTTTTCACAATTACTGACCTGTATTGATTGCCACTGTAGTTTGGTATTTCCCTTTACTTTGGTGGCCTGCTTCCCTCATGCCCTGGAATACAACTCAGAGCTCCAGGCAGCGGAACCATCTATTGTTTTGTTTGCCAGAAAGTGCACCCTGTATGGTCTCCTGTCTAAGTTGGAAATATTATGCATGTGCAGGACTATTCGAGTATTTTATAAACAGTAGCACACAATAAATTCCATGCATGGGCCGCTGCTCCTATCTCTGTGTTGGGTTTTATTTGGAAGATGTAGTCTGATTTGACCTCATGCAAATCAGAAAATACTGTTACTGGAACTGGGATATAGCCTTCAGAGATTATCTCATGGATAGTTCATGGTAATTTGATAAATTTGTGTCTTCATAAATTTTGGTGTTTTTCTTTTTTTAACTTTGGTTACATTTGTCTTACATGAACATTAGTAACTGAAAACTAGAGTACTTTGGGTGCCTATTATAGGCCTCCTAAATCTAATATTTAAAATCACTATTTCACTTAACTTTTAATTGAAAGAAAATGTTATTGTTTAGAGTTTTGTTATAATAGTATTGGGAATTTATTGGGTGTTTTAACAATAAGAAAAAGAATATTCATGATACTGTATTTTCTTGCCATCATATTCCTTTCTTTTCCATAATCAAAATAAGTATGAAATTTTGCAAATTGAGGGAAATTAGGATATTGCTCAACATTTTATAATATAATCATATAGTAACTTTAATTACAGTTTCCAACAATAATTATAATGATACACATTTTACAAAGCACTGATTTAAATTGAACTGTATATACTTGCCTTATTCCAGGTAGCAAGCAGAACTCAAACTGTTGATTATTACAGCTTTTAGTTGCTGTATTATTAGCTTGCATATATAGCAGTCTATGAGCTACCCTTAAAGTTACTATACACTGCATATGTTTAAAGGTTTTTCTGGATGTTATTGTTTTATGAAAACTATGCATCTCTAAGAGCTTAACTAGTATATCAGGTACCAGGAACTTCCTTAGCCCTTAGGTCCATCACTGGGGTTATATAGTGTTTATGGGAATCTTGGGTAAACATAAAACATCATTAGCAAACTAGAAGAATTATGGGTTGATGGTAAAGATTAAAAAGAAGAAGAAAGTAAGAGAAAGGAACAGAATGCAGAAAAGTGGTATATATTAAGAGTGGTAGAAAAATCACCCAGTGCCTCACAGACCACTTCCTAACTGTTGAATAAGAACCTCTTTCTAGTCTTCATAACTGTGAACCATAGAAATATTTTTTAAGGTTTCACAATGAACCATAGAAGCATTTTTAAGGCTTTTTAAAAAATGTAACTTACGATGAAAACAAACTGAAAAGTTCAGATCTTTCTAAATTGTAAATTTAAATGTCTACCAGAGCTAGTAGTAGTGATGGTAAAATATAAATTAATATTCAATATCAATTTTTTCTATCATATCCCTTTATATTCAAAGATGACACTTCTGAGTTAGAAGAGACCATCTCGGGGCGCCTGGGTGGCTCAGATGGTTAAGCGTCTGCCTTCGGCTCAGGTCATGATCCCAGGGTCCTGGGATTGAGTCCCGCATCGGGCTCCCTGCCCCTTGGGGAGCCTGCTTCTCCCTCTGCCTGCCTCTCTCTCTCTCTCTCTCTCTGTCTCTCATGAATAAATAAAAATCTTTAAAAAAAATAAAAATAAATTTAAAAAAACAACAACAAAAGACCATCTCTGACTTCTTGTGCCTTCTGCAGTTCAGCCATTATTAACAGAACTCATATCCTTTAAAAGTTCTGCCAGTTAAATTTGAAATAGGCCTGAAACCTTTGCTTAAAATGAATTACTCCTGTTTTACTCAGGATTTTTGCCTATTGCTACTGATTTTCTTTTCTCCACAGCTATTCTGAATAATGTGTAATTTTTTTTGCATCCTTAACACTTACTTTCACCTTCCCTGTGTGTAGTTGCTTTCTACAGTTTGGGGTTCCTTTAGAATCCATCCTCTGCATCTGTTCATATGTAGATTTTTGATTTGCCACATTCCAGGACCTTAAACTGACTGCAAGTTGTTCTGTTCCCCAGTTTGATGGTGTCACAGAAGCAGGTAAGTGACATAGCTAGGGCCAGATGTAAGCAGAAAGTTAGGTCTTACAGTCATATAGGACCACTGCCTTGATAATTTCTGGTAGACCCTGGAGCTTGATAAATGAAAAGGAACTAGGAATGTGTAATCAGATTTCCTGGATCAGCATTCATTATAGGAAGGAATAAGATGTTTGAATTGATTCTTTTGTATTTTCTGTTCCTAGAAATAGAGTGCATTTTTAGCCAATAATATTTTGGTTTTGCTTACTTTATTCCTCTATTTATTCCTCTTTTGAAATAAATAAATGGAGTGTGCCTGATGACAAAGTACCTTGCTCTCCTTTCAGAGAAAGTGAATTTTACAAATTAATTTTGTTTCCCCTATAATTGATTTCCTTCTGTACCATTAAATGACCATTTGTATTCTTCTTTCTTGGGTATTATGTTTGTTTTTAAGCCTAGATTGATCATTGTTGAATTGTGTTTGAGGAGTGTTTGTTATGCTCAAAGGGACTTTGGGCTTGGGTTAACTCATCCTGGGTCTAGATTGACATCCAGAACTCCAGGAGTTCTGTTGATCTGAGCTAGTGCCTACCTTTCCAACCAAATAACTTCTGAACTAATCCCAGGGTTTTTGTTTTTAATTTTTTCTTCTCTGACTCTGTGGACTGAGAACAGAAATACTGCCTTAGTGAGAGAGGTTCAGGAAGCAATAGGTTTCATCTTTCCTTAGCCTGCCTGGCCTTTGGTGAGTTTGGGAGTGTTGACAGAGTTCTGAGCCCTCTTGGCAGAGAAGGAAGGTCAGAAAGAGAGAAGTCCATGGGCATGGGTCCAGGTCCCTCCTTACCTCGTTAGGGAGAATTCAGCGTTGTCTGTCTGGTTGGCAGGGCACACCTAATCACAGAGACTCAGCATTTCAGCAGTTTGCAAAGGAAAGTGATATGAAGGGACAGCTGCAAGTCAGCCACAAGCTAGATATGAGATCAAGCATTCACTTGGAAGAAAGAGAGAAGGAAGGAAGCCGAGGGCTTAGCAGGGTAAGTTACTTTTCCATCAAACCATCTGCTTGCTTAGTTTATAGTTGAGTAAAACATTTATCACCCCAGGGAGTGTTAATCACTGATTAAGAAGCTGAATGTGCTTAATAATAGCAATATTCTTAATGTATTCCTCCTTTTCTCTTTCTCTTTCCCAACTCCTTTTAGGATCCCCAATGACTAGCATCATTTCCCCCTTTCCCTACCTCCCCAAAGCTGTTTTGTGTTTACTGGTGAGTTAGAGAAAATTAGATGGGCCTTTCTGGTCTGGAGATAGTGAGAAGGTAACTGGTTTGGGTGAAACTTGAGGCTTTTGGTGATGAAGGAGAAAGATGGGAGACCTGGTCTGGGAATAGGCTAATATTGGAGGGAATTTGGAAATGAAAATAAGAGTTTTTCTAGACCGTGCAGTCCATGTCTCCTCTTCTGTCCTTGGTGTTGGTGTTTTTTCTCTTATATATTATGGGAATAAATTAGAGCCTAAGTCATTGGGGATGGCTAGAAAAAAGTTAAAGTGATTCCCTGCTAGGTGAGGTAGACTTTGATCTCTGGAAAATACTTAAAGCTTTTTTTTTTTTTTTTAAAGATTTTATTTATTTATTTGAGAGAGAGAGAATGAGAGAGAGAGAGAACACGAGAGGAAGGAGGGTCAGAGGGAGAAGCAGACTCCCCACCGAGCAGGGAGCCCGATGTGGGACTCGATCCCGGGACTCCGGGATCATGACCTGAGCCGAAGGCAGTCGCTTAACCAACTGAGCCACCCAGGCGCCCAATACTTAAAGCTTTTTATATATAATTCTTTCCAACTTCTCCCTTGTCCCCTCTGTTTTTTGCCTTAGTTTTCTCAATCCTGTCCCTCCCCTCAAACTTGGAGGATCCTGGGGCTCACTGCAGGAAAGTTAGAACCAGGGAAGCTGGGTCTGAGCCTGGGGTACACAAACTCAGACATGAGCCTCATGTAGATACAAATGCACCTTCTTACCTTCCTCCCAGAAATTTAGTTCATTTGTATCATGAACCTGCTCTAGACACAGAGGAAACTATCAGGGATTTCATCACCACCACTCCTCCCCCAAACTGATCCTTTCACTTCCCAGCCAGTTCAGCCAACCCCCAGAGAGCCAAGAGTTAATCTTCCTTGGGAGAAAGACGTCTTTGGAAAGGCAGATAAGTTAGGCAGTACATTTCTGGTCTTAACTGGTTTCAGTTGCAGCACGAGGCTTTTAGTTGAACATTAGGAATATATATTTATTATTACTCCTGGGATTTAAGACTCTTGACTTGTCTCAAATCAAAGATGATTTTTCTCTATACCTTTAAAGAAAGATGAATCCATTCTTTCAAGGTTCAAGAAAGAAGGCAAGTTATCTTGCCCGAAGAGGCTGGGTAGAGAGAGCAGAGGAATGCTTTTGGAGTTGCAGTGATTCTGGAAATTGGATAAGGATGTGTAGAGATTAAAAATGGAAGGGGCGCCTGGGTGGCTTAGTCAGTTGAGCTGATTTCAGCTCAGGTCATGATCTTGGGGTTATGAGATCAAGCCTCAAGTCGGGCTCTGCACTGAGCACGGGGTCTGCTTAAGATTCTCTTCCTCTCCCTTTGCCCCTCCCCTGCTGTTCACACAGCGGCATTCTCTTAAAAATAGATAGATAGGATAGATAAATAAATGAAATGAAGTAAAGTATATTTTTTTAAAAAGTGGAGGGAAGAGTCAGGTCAGTAGTTGGAAATGGGGTACTCAGGTGTGAAGGCATCCTTTAGTGAAGGGACATGACCCTTTAATAATCTGTCACCTTCAGGTCTAATTTCTCCTGTATTGGCGAGAATGTAGAAGATATTATACGCAGATGACCTTAGCTATCTCTGTGGACTCTGAAAACATCCAATTATCTGTGGGTTGAGGGGAGAGATTACAGGAGTGCAATGAAAGGATGAGAAAGTACAAAGGAAAATACAAATTCATTCCCTCGTTAACTAAGGACAGCAGTTTGCAAGAGCCATGTTGTAAGATAATAGATTTTTTTATGTTTTTATTATAATTCCAGTTAACATACAGTGTTATATTAGTTTCAGGTGTACAGATAATAGATTGTAGCTGGATGATTCTGGGAGGTCTTTGTTCTGCCACCTACACCTCAGCTGAATGATGATTCTTGGAGTTTTTTCCCTAACAAATCTGGTCCAGAAGGATTAAATGTCAGACTATTTTTGTAACAAAACATGATCCCTGATCATGTTTTGTACTTTAATAGTTGTACTTTAATAGTTACCTTATTCAGAGTAAAACCAACCACTGTTATATCCTCTGCCATTTACCTATCCCTAGAGGCAGTTAATCTGAGGGTTAATAATTTTTTAGCTTCTTTGGGACGCCTGGGTGGCTCAGTTGGTTAAGCATCTGCCTTTGGCTTGCATGATCTCAGGGTCCTGGGACTGAGTCCCGCACTGGGCTCCTTGCTCAGTCAAGAGCCTGCTTCTCCCTCCGCCTGCCACTCCCCCTGCTTGTGCATACTCTCTGTCTCTTTCTTTCTCTGACAAATAAATAAATAAAATCTTTCAAAAAATAATTTTTTAGCTTCTCAATCTCTACGGATAGTTTTTTTATTTTTTAATTGAGATGAAATTCACATAACATAAAATTCTTTTAAAGTGAGCACAGTATGTCATACATTCACATTGTTATGCAACCACCACCTCTGTCTAGTTCCAAAACATTTTCACCATCCCAGAGAAAAACCCATAACCATTTAGCAGTTATTCCCCATACCTCTTCTTCCCAGCCCCTGGCAACCATGAATCTGCTTTCTGTCTCTGGATTTATTGTTTCTCAATATTTCATATAAATGGAATCATATAATTTATGATTTTTGTGTCTGGCTTCTTTCAGTTACCGTAATGTTTTTGAGGTTCACCCACATTGTAGCATATTATCAGTACTTCATTTCTTTTTATGGTGTAATATCTGAGAAATTGCCAAATCCATATTATGACACTTTTCCCCATGAGTTCTTCTAAGACTTTATAGTTTTATTTCTTACATTTAGGTTACACTTAATAATCAAACTGAAACCATTCTATTTTATTAATTCCTAGAGTGTTCCCATCTACATTTCTATGCTCATGCTCTTCTCTGTGGTTAGAATTCTTTTTTTCTGTCTCCATGTATTCCAAGTATTACCATCATTAATGGGTCTATTCTGACTGTTAGATGCTTTATAAAGTCTTCCTACAGCTAACCAACTGAAGAGACTCTTTCCTTCTGATCTCCCATTAGTGCTTTAGTTTCACTTTTCTTATAGGATTTATATACTGCCTTATAATTTACATTTGCTCCCTCTGTAAAACATTTAGATATTAAGTATACTTTTCATATTTGTTTCCATTATAATATGAGTGATTATATATGTTTAGCAGTAAATGTTTATTGAATGAATGGATGTTTTTATTTTTCCCAATACAGTTCCTTTTGTTTACTCATTCCTTGTGGAAGGAATGGGAGAAGACAAGGCAGGGAAGGAGAATATCAGAGTTCCTCCTAGGTAGTGGGTTGGGTATGGGATTAGTTCTACTTCAAAGCTCACCTCTTTAGGAAATTTTCCTCATAATTTGCATAACTTGCTTTGACTACATAAATCTTAATATTGCGGTGCTGTTTTTGTATTGCATTTAATTTCTGCTTCTGGGTTGATTGCTTAAAAGTGTGATGATAGGTCTTCTAAAATGAATGTTTTATTTCCCTAACTAGGTGAGATTGACTGATTCTCCAATTAGTTGGTAGTTTTAGACAACCAAGATTTCTGTTGCTTTTTCCTCCCTCATTTTAAGTTGATTTTTTAAATGCATTAATAACATATGAATATATTCTTAGTATTCAAGAGTCAAATGTTACAGATAAGTCTAAAGTTCCTTTTGATTAACCCAGTTCCTATCCCATTACTTCTTTCCCTCCTTAGAGTTAATCATTGTTATTTTATATGAGCCCTGCCAGACCTTTTTCTATGCATTTACTTACATATTTATATTTCATATAGAACTTCATATGTAATACATATATAATTATGTTGATATACAATTATTTTCCTCCTGTTTTTTATCACTGCCTGTGGTGATCAGTAATCAGTAGAGCCTAAATAAATCTTACTGATACCTAGGTCTGAGAGACTGGAATGAGAATTGAAAGGTCAAACATACGAAAACACATCATACTTGTCTAGCTTGCAAAATTTCATTCCATATCTGTTCTCCATATAGTCCCCAGGTATCAGTGGACAGCCATGGCTCCAAGATCCCGGCAACGAAGGCACAAGAAACCCCCCTCATCGGTGACTCCCATGGTTGTGACCCCACCCACAGTTGTGACCTCTGTGCCTCTGACCCTCTCAAAACCTGACCCTAGCATTGATGCACTTGGCTTCTTCTCCTTGGACAATAATGTTCCTGGCCTATCCCAGCTAATCCTTCAAAAGCTAAACATGAAAAGCTATGAAGAATACAAGTGAGTGACTAGCTCTGTGGAAGAGTAATATATTATCTCTGGTAGAAGTGCTTTCAGAAAGCAAGAAGGGAGTATAACTTGGGGAATATGGGGCATTTACAGTGAGTCATCCTGACTTTTGCAAGTTTTATAGAAGAAATTTTTCTCATGTGAGAAATAGTGGGAGTAGATAGAAATATATAGGAGGCAAGGTATAGGTCATGAATGATTCTGGAGATATTCTTTTTCCTATTGCTGCTTCTTCTCCATGCCATTTCTGCAGGTTGGTGCTAGATGGGGGTGCTTCTGTATCAGGCTTTGGATTTGGATGCCTTCAAGAAATGTTCCAGAAGATGGAGGACACATTCCGATTCTGTGCTCACTGTAGAGCTCTTCCTAGTGGCCTTTCAGACTCCAAGGTGCTACGTCAGTGCAAGAGGTGACTAGTTGGGGGCTAATAGGAGAGTCATCCAGAAATGATCCTATTCTAAGACTTCATGGCAGGAGGAAGGGTCTAAGAGTTTTCAGAATAACTTCAGGCACACTCCTTGTTTTGTGTGACCCAGGCCACAGAAAGATTAGAAAAGGATTGGGCTCCTACTTATTTTGGGTATTATGGGGAAGTCAGACCATGGTACAGTAGTCCCCCTTATGGGCAGTTTCACATTCTATGCTTTCAGTTATGTGTGGTCAACCACAGTCTGGAAGCAGATGATCCTCCTCTGACTCTTGTCAAAAAGTTAATAGTAGCATAATGCTTTGTCACAGCACCTATGTCATTCACCTCACTTCATCTTATCATGTAGGCATTTTATCATCTCACATCATCACAAGAAGAAGGGTCAGTACAGTATAATAACACACTTTGAGAGAAAGACCACATTCATATAACATTTATTATAGTATAATTGTCTTATGTTGTCATTAATCTTTAACTGTGCCTAATTTATAAACTTTATCATAGGTATGTATGTGTAGGAAAAAACATAGTATATATAGGGTTTGGTACTACCCATGAGTTCAGGCATCCACTGGGAGTCTTGGAACATATTCCCTGTGGAGAAGGGGGGTACTATTGTATAATCTTCTCTACCTCCTTCCTCTTGAGTATTCAAGGGTTAAGATCATATCTGTTCTGGGGAGGTTGGGGTTGAGCCATACCTGTGATAAGAGGGCAGCTGCAAGCTCCTGGTATTTTTTTTCTGTAAGGGATGTAAAAAGTGAGTTATTCCAGATACAGACTAAGGTGTTACTCTGACCCAAGAGAATAATTAAATTCCTAGTGTCTCATGCCTCCCCTGCCAAATGTAATCTCCAAATTTGGTGCATCGGCTCTCACTCCTCTCCCTACCTTCCCTATCCAGTGATCTTTCTTCCTAGTTACAGGAAGTATCAATTCCCTTCCCTAGTCATCCCCCAGTCACCTTTGAGGTTATAGGAACATCTGTTTCTGGGGCTCATCTTTCAGGTGCAGAAATGTCTATTACTGTGGTCCAGAGTGCCAGAGGTCAGACTGGCCAGAGCACAGGAAGGTTTGTCAAGAGCTGCGTCTGGTAGCTGTGGACCGTCTCATGGAATGGCTTCTAGTCACAGGTGAAGTGGTGGTGTTGGAGAGCTCTGCCACAGTGGTCATAGTTGGCTGTACTTGGAGAAAGATATGAAAACATGTTGTTATGAGGAAAACATGAGAAACTGGGTGGAGCACTCCTGGTCACAAGTTGGAAGAGTAAATTTGGAAGGAATATTGAAGCCAGGAAAGGATTAGGTCACTCATATCCCTTCTTTCCTGCAGGTGCTTTTGTCCTACCTTCAGGACCTTGGCCATGCCTGGCTGAAGTTGTACAGGGCTGGGATACCTGGTTTTCTATGCGGTGTTTACAGCTAGATGCTACACTGGATGCTGTGCTAGGTAGTCATGCCATGACCACCCTGTGGGCCAACGTAAGACGGCCAAAGCCAGACCCAGATGTCCTGCAGGGCTCTTTGAAACGGCTGCTGACAGATGCCCTATCACGGCCCTTGACACTGGGCCTTGGGCTTCGGGCCTTGGGGATAGATGTTGGGAAGACTGGGGGAAGCACAGTGCATGTGGTTGGTGCTTCCCATGTGGAGACATTCCTCACTCACCCTGGGGACTATGATGAGCTTGGCTACATGTTTCCTGGACACCTAGGCCTCTGTGTGATCATGGTGGGTATAGACGTATGTGCTGGCCTTACCCAGAGCACCTCAACTTCCCCCCTGGAACCTGGCACAGTTCAGCTTAGTGGCCATAGGGGCCTCTATCATGACTTCTGGGAGGAGCAGGTAGAGACTGGACAGATAGCCCATCCGGATTTGGTGGTGGCATTCCATCCAGGTAAGAGTCATTCAGGGGAATACCGGGTGGCTTTTCTGGGAATTTTCCATCCTGACTCTTATATCTCCTCTATTTGGAACCCCATTCATTTGGTCAGGTTAAACACAATATGATGACAACCTTGGTTGATCATTAGCCATATGTGCTATACCTGGGTTTAGAATTTTCCATTGCAGAACCTGGGGTGGATGATGGTGGTAAATGAGCATTGGAGGTGAGCAAGGTGAGGGGAGGGGTGGACACAATAAAAAAAGTATTCTTGCTTAGGGTCTACCTCAGCCTTTCCCTTCACTATATCCATTTCTATTGTTCCCCCCCCCCCATAGGTTTCCATGCTTCCCCAGACTTGATGGAGGCTTGGCTGCCCACCCTCCTGCTACTTCGTGATTATGAGATCCCTACATTGATCACTGTTTACAGGTTTCAACCTCTTCCTATTTGTGACACCTCCCTGACTCACTCATACCTCTCTCTGTATAGATGAGCTCATTTCTCTCCCCCTTGCTCATCTTCTGTCTTCTGGTGAGGATTTTCTTCCTTTCCACACTTGGCTTTCTAATCCCCTTGGAACCAAGTCCTATGCTAGTTAATCAGGTACTTAGTGAGACATTTGGGAGGGAAGGATACCCTTGCCCATCTAGCCTTTGGTAATTTTGGGGATTAATGAGTCCAGAAGTATCAAGTTCTGAGGAATTTCTCTCCTATGTCTCTCATAATTAGCAGAGCAATTTCTTTTTCTTTCTTTCTTTTTTTTTTTTTTCATCTGTCTCCTATAGCCATCAGGAATTGGCAGCTTCTTTGCAGATTCTGGTGGACCTGGATACACACATCACTGCCTATGGAGCTAACCCTTTCGCGTCCCTCAAACCTGAAGAGGTCTATTCCAACCCCAACAAGCAACCAGTATATTGCAATGCCTACTATATCATGTTTCTTGGAAGTTCCTGCCAGCTGGATAAGAAGCAACTGGAAGAGAAAGTAGATGGTGAGGTTTAAATAGCTGAGCCAGATCCTGACTGGACTTCTAGAAAATTGGGAGGTTGTAATGAAATTACTCTGCTGTTGTCAGGTTGTTGCCAACTTTGAAATCCCCTATATCCTAAACCTCAGCCACTTTTCAGGTGAAGATTCTAAGCTGAATGGGAGTTCCTATATGATGTGACTCTTTTTCTAAGAGATTAGCTACAAGTAGCTACCAGAGACAGGATTCTAGATTTAATGTGTGGCAAGAGGCCCTGGTATCAGTCTTTCCAGAGCCTAGAATTCCCAACATTTTCCTTTGCGAGAAAGTTTTACCTTTGACTTGAATAAGATGCTGCCAAGGAAAAGAATGGCACCTTATTTTTCTGGAAAAGACTTTCTTATCCAGCAATTTGGGCTGAAAAATGGAGAGGTGTTAATGACTTGAAGTGGTACAAGAATGGGCAAATCAGAGAAGTGGTTGGGAACATGGGAGAGGTTGTGAGGATTGGCATATTTTTTTATATCCTGGCTTTTTCTAGATAAATATCTTATTTTCTTCTTTTCTCTTGGGGACTTCTAACCCTAGAGCAGCTTTTTGCCTTGTGTTGTATTTAAATATCCCAGGGTAGGGGGCACCTGGGTGTGCAGTTGTTGTTGAGCTTCTGACTCGGTTTCTGCTCTGGTCATGATCTCAGGATTGTGGGATTGATCCCTGCATTGGGCTCCGCGCTCAGGGCAAATCTGCTTGATATTCTTTCTCCCCTCTGAGCCTGCTGCTTGTGCTCTCTCTCTAAAAAAAATAAATATTTTTAAAAAATTAAAAATAAATATACCAGAGTATATTGGACTTTAGTTGAATATCCTGGAGTTATTTGTTATTACCTAGTTTATACCATAATAAACTCAGTTTGGGGCTTCTTAAGTCACTTGTTTTATCCTATTTCCTATTCACTGGCAAGTATTACTTGTCTAGTCACAACACCTCAAGATTGGAGGTTTCTCTCTTGCCAAAGGAGTGATTAACACCAGCTCTCTGTTTGGACCTGCCACTCTGCCACATCCTGTCTCATGCCATCCTTCTCTTATCACATTCTCAAGATTAGGATAGTCCTACAACCTTGCCATAATCTCAACCTCCCACCCCTAACCCTAACACACACATAACATTCTTATTGCCCACTCTGATAGGGGCAATGTTAGAATTCATGCGTTCTGGGATACCTGTGTGGCTCAGTTGGTTAAGCGTCTCTTGATTTTGGCTCAGGTCATGATCGCAGGGTTGTGGGATTGAGCCCCGTGTTGGGTTCTACACTGGGCATGGAGCCTACCTAAAAAAAAAAAGAGAGAGTTAAGTGAAAATGTTTGCAGAATTGGAGGACTCACACATTCCAGTTGCAAAGTTTACTACAAAGCAGTAGTAATCAAGACAGTGTGGTACTGGCCTAGGATAGACATAGATAAATGACATCAAATTGAGAAGCAAGAAATAAGTTAACATTTATGCTCAATTGATTTTTGACAAGAGTGATAAAACAATTCAATGGGAAAAGAACAGACTCTTTAACAGATGGTACTGGAACAACAGGACTCCGCATGCAAAAGAATGAAGTTGGACCCCCCCACATACACACAACATTACACACAACATACAAAAATTAACTCAAAATGGATCAAAGACCTAAATCACTAAAACTATCCAACTCTTAGAAGAAAATATAGGGGTAAATCTTCATGAAGTTGGATTGGGCAATGGTTTCTTAAATACCACACCAAACCTATAAGCAGCCAAAATAAAAATAAATTAGACTTTATTAAAATTAAAAAACTACTGAAAGGGACACCGTCAAGAAAGTTAAAAGAATGTAAGAAAATATTCATAAATCACATATCTGATAATGGACTTATATCCAGAATATATATAAAGAACTGTTACAGCTCAACAATAAAAGAACAAAAAACCGAATTACAAAATGGGCAAATGATCTGAATAGATATTTCCCCAAAGAAGATATACAAATGATCAATAAGTACATGAAAAGATGCTTAACATCTTTAGTCATCAGGAAATAAAAGTCAAAACCATAGTGAAATAGCACTTCATCCACTAAAATGATGATAATTAAAAAAACAGAAAATAACAAGTGTTGGTGATGTAGAACAATTGTAACCCTCATACACTCTTGGTGGGGATATAAAATGGTGCAGCCATTTTGGAATACAGTCTGGCAGTTCCTCAAGAAGTTAAACATTGAGTTACCATTTGATCCAGCAGTTCTGCTCCTTGGTATGTCCCATGAGAAATGAAACCATGTACACAAATGGTCATAGCAGCATTATTCACAATAGCCAAAAGATAAAAACCTAAATGTTCATCAACTTATGAATGGATAAATAAAATGTAGTATATCCATGTCATGAAATATTTGGCCTTAGAAAGGAATGAAGTACTGATTCATGCTACAACATGGATGAACCTTGAAACATGGATGAACCTTGAAAACATGTTCATTGATGTTCATGTTAAGAAGTCACAAACACATAGTGTGTGAGTACATTTATATGAAATGTCTAGTATAGGCAAATGTATGAAGACAAAGATTAGTGGCAGCATATGGATGAGGGGGATGAGGGGATTGAGGTAATGGCTTAAGGGTATGGGTTTTATTTTGGAGGTGATGTAAATGTTCTAAAATTGGGTGGTGGTACAGTTCTGTGAATATATTAAAAACCATTGAGTTGTACACTTTACATGAGTGGATTATATCTTCATAAAGCATAATTTTTTTTTAATCTTAGAGAATGTAGGGGTGCCTGGGTGGCCCAGTTGGTTAAGTGTCCAAGTCTTGACTTTGGCTCAGGTCGTGATCTCAGGGTTGTGAGATGTGGGATTGAGCCCCACATCCGACTCCGTGCTGGGCAGAGTTTGCTTAAGATTCTCTCTCCCTTCTCCTGCCCCTCTCCCCCTGGGGGGAGGATATCTTAGAGAATGTAAAAACAGAATATTTGCTAAGTGCTTAATGCAATGCCTAGCACATAGTTCGTACTTAATAAATGGTACCCTTGTTAAATCCATACCACTTTAATTTTATACAGCAACATAAACATTGAGCTAGCAATACTGTGTAAGTATTGATTTGATGATGGAAAAACCAGTTGGATGTGTCATGGTTCAGACAAGATAATGCAGGTGCCAGCTATGATGATAGGAGGCATGGAAAGGAAGGGGTAATTTCTAACAAGTAAATAGTGACATTTTATAGATAAATCATGAAAGTAAAATCTATAGGGGTTGGTTACTGATTGTGATGGGTGAAGGGTGATATATCTATCAGAATCAAATCAGGAGACGACAGAAGCCACACAGTAACAAGTGACACAAGTTTCCAACTTAGTAGACTGGTGGTGGGTACATAAAAGTCTAAATGCCTACTTTCATGCTAACTGCTGAGAAATCTAAGATAGCTTCTGCCCTTAAAGTGTTTAGAATTTAACAGAAGATGACATAAGCAAGGTTAATATATTTCTTAACTTAGCAAATTAAAAAAAAATTGCATTTAAAAAACTGTATTGAAAATCCTTTAGGATGGTACTAAATTGGATTCTGATATCCTCATCTCAGCAGGTCTATCGGAGCCATTTTTTCCTCCAGTATTGGATATAAATCTCTGCTTATTTGATCACCAGATCAACTGTTGGCTTGGGTTTTGCGGGCCATTCATTTGGGGGAATAATTTTTCTAGAGAATAAATTGGGCTATGTCATTCCCTTGATTCAACTTCTCCAATAGCTTCCCACTGGAACCAGAATAAAATCCGAACTCCTGGCCCACCCTCATGAGGAAGCTTTTGAGTAGAAAGCATGTAGAGTAATAAATTGATAGTTCTCAAACTTAAGTGTTAAGTTAGAATCTCCTGGAGGGCTTGTTAAACAAATTGCTGGGCTCCACCCCAGAGTTTGAGTCAGTAGATTTAAGGTGGAGCCCCAAATTTGCATTTCTAACAAGTTTCCAGGTGATATTGCTGCTACTTGTGTGGGGACCACACTTTGAGAACCACTGTAAAAGGTTAACTGACTGGTTTTTGCTCTGAAATAAACTTTCTTAATGAGTTTAAGATACCGGTCTGAGACCCTGAAATTACCTCAGATGTTTAATAGTGTTTGTGTTTAAGGCTCTAGTGTGAGGGGGACCTAGAGTCACCCAACAGCCCGTCTGGAGTGGTTTTGATTATAATGTATCTCGAGTTCTGGCTATCTAGGATCCCAATAAGTATTAATTCTTTTCATAGGGATCTAACAAAGGACACGGTCTTTATCTCAGGGAGGACGGTATATCAGAGGCGGAGTGGCTGCACCTGACCTTCCAGGTGCGCGGCCCTTCTCAACTGCCCTTCACGGAAAGGGCTCCGGGATTTCTTAAAACCTCTGTGACCTGACAGAGCCCCAGAGGTATTGGAGATGGTCCTTGGGACCGAGAAATGTGATAAAACCGGCTGGTCCACCCGAAGGGAGCGTCTCTTCCCGCAGGTGGAGCAGCGCGGTGCGGACTAAGCGAAGCACTAGCGGGGCCGAGCTCGGCACCGCCCCCTCCAGCTGCAGGGGCGTTCCCAGCTGCCGCAGCGATCCTAACGGGCTCGGGCGGCGTCCCCCAGCGCTCCGCCTCCCCGGGCCCTCCCCCGGCTCCATCTTGCTGGCGACCAGCGTTGGGCTGTGACGCTGCTTCCCGGGGTCAGGTGAGGCGCCCCCTACCCTTTCTGCCCCCCTTTCCCCGTGTCACCTCGCTCATGCCCGCTCTGAGGTGCGCCGTCCGGGAGATGGCGGGGCGCCGTGTGTGTCCCCGCGGTAGGGGTTCGGTGGAGGTGCCTGTGGGCCTCAGGGCGGCGGGCGTCTCGGCGTGTGTGTCTCTGGACCCTGGCTCCTCGCCGGGGGCTTTCGGGCGGAGGCGCATTGCATTGGAGTAGGATAGGCGAGGCGGCCGGCCTCTGTGCCACTCCGCTGTCCGGAGATCAGAGGGACAGTGATAGCCCGCGCGCCCGCAGGTGGACCACAGGTGGAGGGACTGAGGCCAGAGAATGGCCCTGCCGAAGTGACCTCAAGGAAAGCTGAGTAGGGAAACCAGCAAGGAACAACGAAAGCTGTCTGGCTGGTGATTAGGTTTCCCGGTGACACAGCAAATTTTGGGAAATTTGTCCTGTGCTTCACTAAGCCT